GGGGGAGGGCGAGCTGGGCCCGCAGGTTTTGGTGGTTGCGTGGCCTGCCATTTTTGGTTGATATCTGGGGGATCGCAGCAAAAGAGTGGGATAGTTTAGTTCCAGCATACACCAGTTCTTCCATTTTCTCTGATAAGCTCAGAAGTGGAGATGCTGGAGAGAGGAATAACGTGTCTGGTGAGAGGGGCTGTTGCTCTGGTGTTATCGGAGGCTGTAATATGCTGTCCTGGTTTCCCTTGCTGTTTTCCAGAAAGTCGTCCTTGGGTGCTGAATCTTGGAGCAGTTCTAATATGTCACAGTCTGTCTGCGGTGAGCTCTGTGGGCAGGGCTCAGCTGAGATTGTGTCCGTGAGCAGAGGTTGTTGTGGCTGAGTGGTGTTATCATTGTCCTTGTGTGATATGTCAACCGCATGTCCATTCAGGTGCTGAAGTGAAGGCCTATGGTCATTCATACTGTGTCCAAGTGTGTGTGTGCCATTCAGGTTGAGTGGATTGGCAAACAATGCAGAAGGATGATGGAGGGAGAAGTAGATATTGTCCTTTAGCACTCTTGAACCAAGTTTGTTTGGGTGGTGGCCATCCTGTTGAAACGGTTGTCTCTGACTCCAGAAAATATTGAAGTTGTCAATGAAGTTCACTCCTTTTATATTGCAGGTTTTTTGCAGCCATGTATTGAGCCCAAGCAACCGTGAAAATCTGTTTATTCCTCTTACTGGGAGTGGTCCACTGTTGAATGTCTGAACTTTTAGTCTTTTAAGTGTTTCAAAAAGTTCATTGAAATCCTTCTTAAGGAGTTCTGACTGCTCTTTATGAATATCATTCTTCCCCACATGAATGATAAGTTGATTTGCGGTCTTATGTTTCATCAGAATGTTCTGAAGTTCACTGTTTACATCAGATGTTGTTGCTTGTGGAAGGCAGCACGTAGTTGTATCCCTGCTGCTAATGTTTCTGATTATGGAGTCACCCACTATCAGAGTCCTGGGCCTGGAGTGCCGCTGTCTGCTCGACCTTGAGCACCAGTTAGCATCAGTGTTAGGTACTGGCTGATTTGATCTTTGTTTTATCACATTCATCACGTTTGGGGATTCCTCATCTACATTCATTAATACTTCAAATCTGCTCTCAAGATGTATAGGCGGTGGTAGGAAATTTGCAATTTGCCAGTGTTTGCAATCCTTGTCAGAGCCTTATCTGGGGTAGAGGATGCTACTGCGGCAATATGTGATGCTCGTGACAATCTGATGTTTCGAGTGCTTTTGGGTCTCGCTCCCTGTTTTTGCCATTGATTTGTATGCTGATCAGTTACGGCTTGTTTCTCTACACTCAGTATGGCCTGTCGAGGAGCACTAGATTCATGGGACTCACCGCCTGTATGCTGAGGAAGCTTGACGAAGCTCTGTTGTGTGTTCCGTCTGGTTTGGTGGTCCCGCAAGTAACTTTGTCTCAAGAACTGCAATCCTTTGTCAAAGTCTGTGGCAGTTTGTGCAGCAAGTAGATTTTTGAACCAGAGGAAAAAGAGATGCCAACCACTTCGGAAAACAACATCAATCCAGTTTGTAAGGGAGGGGGGAAAGCCACCAACCACAGCAACAACAAGAACCAGCCTGCTACAAAAGACCCAATCATGGGAAATGAAGGTCGACCTGGGAGGAAGGCTGCAGTTCCCCCAGTTTGTCCAGACAACCCTGAGGCCGGATGTGGTACTGTGGTCTGAAGAGGGAAAAAAGATTATCCTCATAGAACCTACAGTCCCATTTGGAAGAGGGGTGTGAACAGGCCTTTGAAAGGAAGAGCGCCAAATACCAAAATCTTCTGCACGACTGCAGGGGGAAAGGATGGCAGGCTTGGCTGTTCCCGGTCGAGGTCGGCTGTAGAGGATTCCCTGCTCAGTCAGTGTGGAGAATGTTCACAGCCATTGGAATGACATGGAAAGAGAGGACGGCAGCAGCTCGCAGGATGGGGGAGGCAGTGGAAAGCGCCTCTTGCTGTTTATGGAGCAGGAGGGAGGAGTTGAGCTGGAAGCCAGGAGGGGAAGATGGGCAGTGATTTGGCCAACACTGCTGACCCATCATCGGGAGGGTGTTAATAAATGATAAGGGTCGAAACACCCAATGAACGATGGGTACGACTTGTCATAACCCAAAATGGCGGCGCCCGTGTCAAACGTCAAAATAAAAGTCTTCACAATTTTAATCACAAATTTGTAGATCCCCTACATTCCCCCCTGCTAAACCCTGCCATACCATCGGACTTCCATTCAGCAACTCAGTCCCTTAAAAATATATAACAGAGAATAGCAGGTTAAAGTTCTTCACAGTGCAAAACATTAGTACAACAATGAAAATATTCACAGTTACTCAACTAAGAAGTTCGATACACATTCACATTAAAAGAAACTTCCCAAACATTCAGGTTTTGCATATAATTATTTTAAGACATAATCAGTCCTATACCTAACAGGTAATGTACCTCTGTTATGACGTTGAGAACGTCTAGGTTCAGGAATACTTTCATTTTCACTTTCAGTATCAGATTCACCTGAATTTACTGACCCAAGTACTGACTGACCTACTGAACCATCAGCACCTCATTGTCATGGTCCCTAACACCAGTGTCTAATCCATCCCCATCCTCCCCTCGACACCCTGTGTTTGTATGCGTGTTGGGTGCAAATGTGACAACAGGGACTGCAAGAACATAAGGATCTTCTGAGTCAGTGTGTTCCTGTTCTGTATATTCTCTAGATTTATGTCTAGATGTGCAGGGTAGTGGTGATGACTGAAAAGTGCAATGCTTGAGTTGATCCCTATGTACAACTTTACATGGACCCCCTTTCTCTGGACGAATTGTGTAGACTGGTGTGTCTGCGTGATTCTGTTTCACCACAATGTAAGGTAAAGATTCCCAGTGATCTTGTATCTTTTTCCTTCCCCTATGTGAATGATTCCGTAACAGAACACGGTCACCAGATCTCATGAGTGCTCCATGCGATCTGCGATCATAGGCTCTTTTTCTCTTCCTTGAAGCCTCTTGTGCTGCATGGTTAGCTACTTCCACAGCAGTCTTTAGTCTGTCGTGATGGTCTTTCACCCAATCATCAAGGTTGTCAACTCCACTATCCTCCAAGTCTCTCCAACCCAGAATGTCCAGCGGCATGCGAGCATCCCTCCCGAACATCAAGTAGAATGGCGAATAGCCGGTTGAAGTGTGGGTTCGGCTATTATAAGCCATGACTAACTCAGGGAGATACTGCTTCCAGTTCCTTTTCTTTTCCGGAGGTAATGTCCGTAGCATGTCGTGCATAGTCCTGTTAAATCGCTCGCACTGGGAGTTACCCTGTGGATGATACGGGCTTGTGCGACTCTTTCCGATTCCGTAGACTTTACATAGCTCTTTGATGACATTAGCTTCGAAACATCGACCTTGGTCGGAATGGAGTCGTGCAGGGCAGCCGTAGTGAACAAACCAATGCTGTACCAGTGCTTTTGCCGTGGTGTGAGCAGTCTGATTTCTGGTTGGCACTGCCACCGTGAAACGAGTGAACATGTCAGTTAAAGTAACAACAGGTCGTTTTTTGCTCTCGGGCTCCCCCTACAGTTGGGAAACAGTATTGTCCTCTACTACTGTCGTAAACTGTCATCCTACATGCACGTGCATTTGTTGACAACCATGATAGCCCTGAACACTGTAGGAGGAGGTCACATGCAGGTGTTCTCGCGTGTGTGAAATGTCTTCATCCCAGGTACAGTGGCATATATTTCAGCATGTCATATGAATATAATTTCATGTGTTTTATTTTTTTTATAACGACAAATGATCGCGTTTACAAGCCAGCGTCATTATAGTATCCTAGTCTATTGGTTACCGTTTTACTGAATCTATATGATACTTCAATGCAATGTTTGAGTGGTTGATAATAACCATATATCGTCAATATTATAATATCAAGCTACCATAAATGAATCTGCAAATTTTACAAATCGATTTGCATTATAGCTTGAGGCAAGACAAATAAACAAATATCACAGACATGTTAGGTATCCTAAAATATGATTTTATTAATAATCTTCCTCCTTTCTTTGTACATGTTGAGTAGACTACACTTTTTAGGTCAAACATTTGCTATTGGCATTTCATCGATTGCAAAGTTCAAATCAGAACGAGAATACTATCGCGATAGCTAACCATCAAAAACTAGAATATCGTTTACTAGCTACCAGATTGATAATTCGCTACTACTCTAGCGAATTAGAGAGGTTAGAGAGAGGCATTCTTTTTTCGATGGGGGGTTCGATGCTCCCTGCACACGCAAGGTCTCTCGCTCGCTTTCTCTCTCTGCCGTCCGCGCGCGTTGCAGCACAGTCTCTGTCTCGCGTGCGCGCTCGCTCTAGATTCCGGGAGATTTGAACTAATTTGCGGTATAACTTGTCGATCACGAGTGGCTCAACAGGTAGAGATCTATAGATAAACTCATCTTTCAGGCATTTGACCGACCGGGTTGACAATTTAGCGTGAGAAACCAGGGGTGTGGCGTGTGAGCGTGTGAAACCAATCAAAAGCGGGTGTCTCACGGCCAATGCGTGAGAGTTGGCAGCTCTGCAATGTTGATCCTCGTTCTGCCTTTAACGCGATCACTTTCTCTTTTTCTCTTTTTGCTTTGCTCCGATAAAACCTTTGCTTTCTTGTTTTTCTGTGCTGCTTCGGCCATGACTATAACATTTGGCTCGCAAGTCCGATTTTAAGGAAGTGGGGGTGGTGGTGGAAGTGACGTATATGCCGTAAAGCAGTCAAATTTTGTAGTTCTCTTTGTTCGCCGGTTACTACCCGAAACCCGAAGTTTAAAAGTACGATTAAAAACGCTACAGACCCCGTCAGGCTATGGCAGACGTGTCATTCAACCTATTGTAAGTCGATGTACCATCACAAGAGACTTGGAAATATATTATGAAGGCTGAAAAGTTACCTGTTGTTACTTTAAGACAAGGACATTCTCATATCCTCGCACAGATTCCTCCAAGAGAGAATAATCCATTGCAAGGACTTCCAGAGGGGCAGAAACGTTAGTGCATGTCATTGGGGCTCGAATTTTAGGGAACACATCCTTTGCTAGAGTACATCTCTTACACTCATGAATCCAACTTTGAACATCCTTAGTCATTGTTGGCCAGTAATAACTTTTCCTCATGCGCTCTAGTGTGCTTGTTTCTCCAAAATGACCACAATGATCATGCTTTCTTTTATACACTTTGAAACGTAGAGATTCAGGAACCACCAGCTGACAAATTTCTTCTCCGTCTCGTGGATCATGGATGGTTCGGAACAGCAATCCTTTCTTAAGCTTGAGTCGTATGAACTGTCTAGCAAGTTTTTTTTGATTCCACATTCATGTCTCGCTGCTCGACCGGACTCAGATTCTTGTTGGTAAGTTCAGCGCGGTAGATAGGTGCTATATTAAGGTCAACCTTTTGTTGCTCTTCTATCTCACTCCAGCTATGTCCAGGAACTTTCCTTGTCACTGACACCTGTACTGATGCTTGTACTTTCTGCTGGTTTTTAGAGACTGGTCATAAGCATGTGCGTACTTCCTCTGAGTTCATCTTAATGAAGTCTTTAGCAGAGTCCTCCTGTTCTGGCTCCTCAACTGATGGGATTCTTGACAACGCATCAGCGTTTGTGTTTTGTCGTCCTGGCTTGTAGTAGACTTCAAAATTAAACTCTGCTAACTGAGCCATCCACCGTTGTTCAACAGCGCCTAAATTTGCCGTCTCCAGGTAACGCAACGGGTTATGATCAGTGACCACAGAGAACTTTGAGTAGATCAAATATTCTTTAAACTTTTCAGTCACCGCCCATTTTAGGGCAAGCATCTCAAGCTTGAAAGCACTGTAATTCTGATTGTTCTTTTCTGATCCACGAAGGCCCCGACTCGCATACGCGATCACACGCTCAACTTCTCCTTGTCGTTGACTCAATACAGCCCCAAGACCATGCAGGCTCCCGTCAGTTGTGACTACGAAAGGCTTGCTGAAATCTGGGTATGCGAGAACTGGTGAACACATAAAGCATTGCTTGAGTTTGTCAAGTGCAGTCTGGCACTCAGGTGTCCAGTTAAAAGGTTCCATCATTTTCCCTTTTACTCCCTTACCAACCAGAGCATGAAGTGGCCGGGCCAACTGAGCAAAACCAGGCACAAACCTCCTGTAATAACTCATGAATCCCAGGACTTGTCTCAACTCCCTGACATTCTTGGGTACAGGCCATGTTTCCAATGCCCAAGTCTTCTCTCCGTCCACCTGTATTCCCTTGGAGGAAATTAAGTGACCCAGGAATTTCACTTCAGGTTTCAACAGGAAGCACTTGCTGGGTTTTAGCTTCAATCCATGTTGTCTCAATCGGTTGAACACGATTTCCAGTCTTTGACAGTGACTATCAAAGTCCTTTGAAAAGACAATAATGTCATCAAGATAGATGAGTAATATGTCAAACGTCAGATCACCAAGCACCACTCCCATCAGACGTTGAAAGGTTGCAGGAGGGTTGCAAAGTCCGAATGGCATCCTGGTCCATTCAAATAGACCAAAAGGAGTGGTGACAGCGGTCTTATCTCGGTCCTCCTTACTCATGGCCACCTGAAAATAGCCTGAAGTTAAATCAAGTGTGGAGAATAGTTGCGCATTTCCCAAGGCATCAAGAGACTCCTCGACACGTGGAAGGGGATAAGCGTCCTTGCATGTCACTTTATTCAGCCTCCTGTAATCACAGCAAAACCTCACGCTGCCATCCTTCTTGATCACAATTACAGCTGGAGAAGCCCATGGACTGCAGCTTTCTCAGAGTATACCTTGAGATACCAAATCTCGAACATGTTTTTTCACTTCCTGAAATAACTGGGGTGGAATTCTGCGATGTCTTTGCTTAATGGGAGGAGCATCTCCTGTAGGGATGTTGTGTGTGACAGCTGTCGTATGACCAAAGTCACATTCGTTCTTAGAAAACACGTCACTGTGCTTTGCCAGTAGGTCTCTGAGTTTTTCACGCTGAGTTTCTGTGAGGCCTTCAAGATTAGTTTGAACTGCAACAGGCAACAGCTCTGTGGTGCTTTCCTCCACTTTTACCTGATGTTGCTGCACAGCCTTAACATGCAGAGCACCCTCTTTCTCCTCAAACTCGACAAGCACTTTTGGGATGACCTCCTGTGGCTTACACAGTGCTGCTATCCTACATCGCGGCATGAGTTTTACAGCTTTCTCACTAGAATTCAAGACTCTGACTGGAACTTTACCATCAGCGGTCTTGGCGAGCACATTAGCAATCAACACACTCTTTGGTAGACTAACTTCTAATGAAGCCTCAACCAACACTTCGCAGTTTACCTTCGGCGGTATTCTACAGCGACCTTCCAACACACGCTTACTGAATGGAGGAATAGTGATTGCTTGCTTCCCAGCAACTTTCACAAAACCAATCTGGTCTCCACAGCTCAAACCCTCAGTCTGCATCTGAATGTTAGCTAACACCCGCTGAACTTTTGCCTCCCTGACACCATGGCTATGCCGGTCCATCTTCTTCATACCTCCAGTGGCCATGAATAGATCTTTGAGGTCACTCAACACATTCATCCCAACAATGCCAGGTAATCCTTTCCACTCTGTTCCATTGGGATTGTTCTCTCTGATCACAAATACACACTTTCCATGCAACGTCTTACCCATACACTCAATGTCTGCTTCCAGACATCCTATAATGGGAATGTCTAGTCCATTTGCCACTGTGAGTCGGACCCAATTGGCAGATGACAGCACAACCTCTCCAAAGTGAGCTTTAAAATGAGACTCCGTGATAGTAGTCACCTCTGACCCGGTGTCCAAGAGGCAAACAGTTCTAACACCAGTAATTCTCAAGTCAATGGTAAGACAGTCACCGAAAGCACTTTCACAGAGGGCCTTGGAAACATTCTCTGCATCACAGTCTGCAGTGTGACTCCTGATAACGGATGGACCTACACTCTCTAACACCGAGGTAACTTGATCAGCTGCATTTATCATTTCTACTTTGTGTTTCAGAGGTTGCACTCCACTTGAGTTCTCTCTGCTCTGAGTACAGCGTCGGCTAGTGTGCCCTGGCTTACCACACATATAGCAGATGTATCTTCCTTCACTGTCTTTTAAAGGTTCACTTTTAGTTTTGCCCTCTTTTTCTACAGGTTTCACTTTCTCTTTGTTATTCACCATCTGAAAGAGCTCTTCTTGTCTGGCAGCTATCCGTTGAATAGCTTCATGAAGATTCTCCAGAGTGAGAGGAGCTGAGGAGCTATCTGTCGCAGTGGTAGCCTGGACGACACCGCGTGAACGAGTACTGCTTCTCAAATTGCATGGAACTTGCACCTCCTCTTCTTCCGACCAAGTAATCGCTTCCTGCATAAGCTGAATAAATGTCAGGTCCTTCTCAGCTTTGACTCTCCTCTTCATTTCACGTCGTAGCGAGTCATCCTTGAGACCTAACACCAGCTGTTCTTTCAGTACACCGTCAGCATCAGGAACTCTAGATGGCTCCCTGGTCTGGATGATACTCAGCTTCTCCTGCAAGTCATAAGCGTAAGAACGGATGGTTTCTCCAGGCATTTGTTTGCGGTCATAAAACTCTTTCAGTCTGCTGCCAATGGGAAGTTTGTCCCCATAAGTCTGATCCAAAGCATCAAAAATCTCATCAACTGACTTCTCTTTTCCATTAAGCATAAACTTAACTGTCATTTTAGCTTCGTCTTTGAGGTACTGCTTAACAAACTCAATTTTGTCTTCTTCAGGAATTTTCATTACTTTAAAGGCAGACTTCATTGAGTTTATCCAATCCTCTATACTCGACTCACCAGGCTTGGAACGCCATCCGCTGAACTCTGGAAGTTTACGGTCTCTTGGAATGTAAACAGTAGATGGCACTCTCTGAGCCACTGCCTGTTGATCGATAACAGCTTTAGCCAGTGACAGCGCTTCTCTCTGTTCGGCTCTGGCCTGTACCAACATATCCGCCTGTTCACCGAACCTCCTTTCCATCTCATCAAACTGTCTTTTTAATTCTTCCAGTTCAGCCATAGTGTTGACTCAAAGACCAGAAACTTATACTTAATTAGAATACTCGCTAGTTTATCCTGTTCGTGACGCCAGTATGTGGCGGAGGGAAATATGCCACCGCCTTGTGGGGGAAATATTCAGCACTATACTAAGGAAGACTGAGTGAGCAACAGGATCCTAGTCCCCCCCCCCCCCCCCCCCCCCCCCCAATGCTTTTAGTCTTTGTACAACTGATAGCCTTGTTGTGTGTGGTGTCTATCGTGTTGCAATGTGTAATGCTCAAGAGTCGGCAAGATGGGCTTCAGGATTTACTCAATACACGGCAGCCACCTGAAGTGTGTGTATGTAGAAAACTCAGGAGTTGAACCTAGTTGACTGCAAAACCCACCCTTCCCGGATCTAACAGGATAGGTAAGATGCCCCACTCCTTAGCATAAGTGACTCAAAATTAGCATAAACAGTTTTAGGTTAATAAACAAAAATAACATTTATTTTTACTGCATGAACTGAAATTATTCTGTTTGCTTTGTTTTCACAGGAAGTGTAAAACAATTTCAAATGCAGACCAATCAAAGTGAAATAAAAATGTGGAAAATAATAAAGAGAGAAAAATCAACAAATGTTTCAGTTTAATCAGAACAAAATAACAATCAGTTTCACTTATTGTTAGTAGACTGAAACGTTTCACAGTTCACTCCAGTTAACTCAACCTTTCCAAATGAAGTTCACTTGATTCACTTAAAGTTCACTTCAATTCGGCTCAAAAATCCAAGATCCGATTCAAAAATCCAGGAAAAGAAAGGAAAAAGTTATACTCAGTCCATTTATGAGTTCAGTTTATGTGCACAAAAGAAAGTCTATGAATTCCTTTGCAGGAAAATTCACTGATCACAGTTCCAGCAAAAATAACTGCACGATTGAACAGTTCAGTTCTGATGACTCACTGACAGAAAATTATAGTTTGCTTACCAGTGTTCAGTAGGAAAAGAGGGAAATAATGTATATCACCACTCTTGGTTCGTGGATGAGGTGCTGAATGATGACCAACGGATGGCAGGGTACAGTTTCTTCACTCAGTGACCCTCAGCGATTGTCCTCGCGATCCTGACGACGGCAGCTTTATTCAACGAGGCCGCAATCCCAGCTGATTGAGACTCAATGAGAAGACGAACAACACACGACCCTAACCGACGACTCAGCGAACGTTTTTCTTCACACGATCAGCAGCATTCACTGTTTCAAGTTCGTTTGAACAAATGAAACAAAAACTGTTTTTAACAAAGAAAACACAAGAGTTTTTAACTCATACGCAACTGAAACTTACTGAAACTAAACAGGTCTTTTGCCCAGCTTCACGCACGAACACGGCAGAAAACTTGTTTTAACACTCACTTAAACAACCTTGTTCATAAACAAACACTCAGACGCAACGTCATGCAGCTCTTAAGTATGTCACGGGTCTAAACTCGACTTTTTATCGTGACTGACTACCCGAGATCGACGTTCACTTTCAGCTTGCCGCTGCTCTTCTCCACTCTCTCCTCGTGCGACTTGTCATAACCCAAAATGGCGGCGCCCGTGTCAAACGTCAAAATAAAAGTCTTCACAATTTTAATCACAAATTTGTAGATCCCCTACATTAAAAATATATCTAAAATATGCCATATGCTCTCATTGGGAAATGCGGAACAATTAGTTCATGCGTTCATGACCTCAAGGCTAGACTACTGTAATGCTCTACTGGGTGGTTGCCCTGCACGCTTAATAAATAAACTACAGCTAGTTCAAAACGCAGCAGCTCGAGTTCTTACCAGAACCAGGAAGTATGACCATATTAGCCCGGTTAGGTCAACACTGCATTGGCTCCCTATTAAACATCGTATAAATTTTAAAATATTGTTGATTACTTACAAAGCACTAAATGGTTTAGCTCTGCAGTACTTGAGCGAGCTCTTAACGCATTATAGTCCTTCACGTCTATTGCGATCTCAAAATTCCGGCCAGTTGATAATACCTAGAATATCTAAATCGACTGCTGGCGGTAGATCCTTTTCCTATTTAGCACCAAAACTTTGGAACAGTCTTCCTACCATTGTCCGGGAAGCAGACACACTCTGTCAGTTCAAAGCTAGACTAAAAACACATCTCTTTGACCCAGCATACACATAATACATTATAGACTTCTATAATTCAATGTTAGGCTGCATAGATTAGGTCAGCCGGAACTGGGAACACTTCCCTTAAATCTTGATGTACTCGTTACATCATAAAAAGAATGGCATCTACGCTAATATTAGTGTCTTTGTTTATCTTGAGGTTTTCCCGCAGCCTGCCGGATCCAGGCCGTATCCAGATCTGACGAAGGAGATTTGCCTGGACCCGATGACAATGCAGTGCTGAAGTGTCAACTATCCTCTCCCTATGGAGGATCCCTTTCCCACTCTACAGATAAAGCGTTGTGAATTTCGGTTCGCGTACCCCGAAGTGATAAAATAAAACAAAATTCTGTATCAAAATGTATAGGCAAGACAAGTAGTTTGTTTAGGCATGGGTTGTATGGAATTACAAACCTGCGCACATATTTTCAAAAGCACATAACTATAGAATCAATTCTGAATGTGCATGTGAACGCCGTCAGCGTTAATCACAGGTTCGCGTTTAAAGTCTGATCATTTCGACGGAGGTGAATCAATCAAAATTAACTTTAGCTGGAAATAACATTATTCAAGAGCCGCTATAAAACCAAAACAATCTCTGTTACCCTAAATTATATGTTTATCTCTGTAAAGCTGCTTTGAAACAATCCATTGTTAAAAGCGCTATATAAATGAAGATGACTTGACTTGACTTGACTCAGATGAATTAAACCTTGTCCTCCATCTTTAGGCAAAAATAATACACTTTGAGGAGTCCAGTGCAGGCGGTTCCAGAAGAAATCGACAAGAAGTGCCTGAATCTTTGACAGCAAGTCCGGAGGAGGATCAACGCATGATAGGCAATGCCATAAAGTGGATGAAATCAGATTGTTAATAACAAGAACTCGACCTCTATAAGATATTTTTGATAAAATACACTTCCATCTGGCAGTACGACCTTCCATCTTCTCAAGAACATTATCCCAGTTTTAAAAGGACAAAAGTTTCTTTACCCAAAAATACACCTAAGTATTTTAACTCTGTCTTCCAATTCAATCCCACAGGCAACTTAAACTTTTTTTCCATCACTCCCCCTATACTGTTTCACTTTTGCTCCAGTTTACTCTGGCTGAAGAAATTATGCCATATTGAGCTACAACATTTGTTAGCATATCAATATCTAGCTGATTATCAAACATGATGATTAACCCTCTGGGGTCGGCTATCGCGTCGGTGCGATGAGCTCACTTTTTTTCTTATCAGTGCAAAAGAGACTCAAAATACTCTGTTGATTTTGATCTTACATATAAGTGTTGTACATCATTAGATCCTGTTAAGTGTCTATTTTTTTGTGGATACTCACAATAAAAACAAAGTGTTGTGCTTTTCGCCAAATAAAGGAAAATAAACATGATGCGATTTCTGCGTTCTCTCTGTCAGTGAAGTCCATTCTGAAACGCGTCCGAAAATGAACTGTAACTCAGCGAATACTCAGTCACACAGGAATGTGTGACTTTTAAATGAAGTAATTTATATAAAAAACAAATATTCTCAGTTTATGTAATCTGTATGAAAAGAGAGAGATGTCAGTCATTTTATTTTCAGCTCATTATAGCTCATTAAGTGTTAATCTGACCACGCCCACAGAGAGCGTGCGCTATTCAAACGCAAATAATCTGAGGCAAGCCATGCAGACGTGTCAACGCCCCCATCAACTGGATAAAACACATCAAGTTTAATAAGAATTATTTACTTTACGTCGTCTTGCTACGCTATGAGGAAAAATACTATCTAATAATCCTGGAAAAACTTACCTCAGAAGTGCTGGTAGTTTCATTTCGAGGAGCAACAAATCAAGCTGATGTGAAAGTAAGTTATTTATTCTTAAGTGCTTTGTTCTAATCGCGTGTGTCTGTCTAATTGTCTGTAAACCGCAAAAGACTGTTTAAATATGAATCGCATGTCTGTGTGTGTAACAGACTTACCAGGTTCAATCAGCAACCAATCACAAAGAGCGCCATCTCCAGAGTACTGATCACGCACACCTGATTCCAGTCTAGTCATTCATCAACCCCAGCATTTAAGCACACGTCTCGAGCTTCATTATTGTCTGGTCTCGTTTGAGTAAAGACTACTTTCCTATGTTACAGATTATTGGAAGTTATATCGCTTACTTACATTCCCGGTCTCCTGCGTCTCCCCAGTCATCTCCCGGAGTGTTTCCTGGTTCTTCGGTGTCTGCCAACGCCATCCCTATCAACCCAAAGTGTGTGCTCACCACTTCCATCTATCATCTGCCCCGTGCAGAGGATCTCTTTTCTCGGTATGGAGATCGACTCGGTCGCCATGTCCGCGCAGCTTACGAGCGAGCGCGCGCAGTCACTGCTGACTTGCCTGAGACAGTTCGAGGGCAAGAGTGCGGTTCCACTGAAACTTTTTCAGAGGCTCCTGGGGCATATGGCATCTGCAGCCGTGGCAACACCGCTTGGATTGCTTCATATGAGACCGCTTCAGCTTTGGCTTCGCGACCGAGTCCCGAGGTGGGCATGGCAACACGGCACTCTCCGAGTACCAGTTACTCCGATCTGCCGTCAGACCTTCACTCCGTGGTCGAACCTCAGTTTTCTACGGGCCGGAGTGCCCCTGGAACGAGTTTCCCGGCATATTGTTGTAACAACAGATGCCTATACCACGGGCCGGGGTGCCATGTGCAATGGACATGCTGCCGCGGGCTCCTGGACAGGACCCCACCGCCTACGGCACGTCAATTGCCTCGAGTTGCTGGCTGTACAGCTCGCCCTGCGCCGCTTCCGAGCCGTGCTCAGGGGCCAGCATGTACTAGTCCGTTCAGACAATACCGCGACTGTAGCGTACATCAACCGTCAAGGTGGTCTGCGCTCCCGCCGTATGTCGCAACTCGCCCGCCACCTCTTCTTATGGAGTCAGAAGCATCTGAGGTCGCTTCGTGCCATCTATATCCCCGGAGAAGACCCCCGGAGATGTTCGATCAGTGTCGTGCTTTCCTTTCTTCAAGAAGGGTTGGAGCGAAGG